AAAAAAAAAAAAAAAAAGTAGAACCACATACTTAGGCTGTTCCTAGTATATGTATAAGTTTTCCAGTAATTACACTAGATATCAGTCCTGAAATTTAAACTTAAGGTTAATTTAAAAATTCAGTACTTCAGTTGTACTAGACATACTGACTTGCCAAACAGTCACAAGAGGCTAATAACTAGAGAGCACAGGTAACAGCACAGCTGTAGACCATTGTGAGGACTTTTGGTCTTATTCTGAACTAGACAGGGAACATGGAAGGGTTCTGAGCAAAGATGTAAGATGACTCTTTTGTACTGGAGAGTGAACTGAAGTGATGCCAGGGCAGAAACAGGAAGCCCAGCCAGAAGGCGACTGCAGGTAGCTTCAGGTAAGTGATGAAGTCGCCCTCAACTAGGGTGGTAGCAGTGGAGGTGGGGAGAAGTCCTAGGAATCCAGGGATACCTTGAGACCTGACTCAACTTGCTTATGAGTTGGATATGGGGATCAGGAATGGCACAAAAGCTTTGGACCTAAAAAACTGGAACCCTGAAGTTGTCTTTTACAGATTTCACAAAAACAGGTTCGGAGAGAAAGATCAAGGGCTTGGTTTTCAACGTTTTGAGTTGAAAATTTGCATGAGACATGTAAGTGGAGATGTCAAGTAGTCCCTGGATACTTGACTATGGAGTTCAGGAGAGAGCCCAGCTGGAGATATAAATGTGGGAGTTATTAAGAGAGATATTTAAAGAGATCACCAAAGGGGCGTACAGAAATAAGTACTTTGCGGCAGTATTTTCAGGAAAAGGCAAGTACTGAGATCATGCCCCAAAGAGATCAACAAGAACTGGTGAAACAACGAGCTCCTTCCAAGCAAAGACAGCAGCGTTCGATGCAACGGTGCAAAGTAGCTAACCAAGGTGTGGCCAAAAAAAAAAAAAATCACATTGCCCAGTTGAACAGAAATAAATCGCTAGCAGATTTGGCAAGATGTACGGAGTGACAACGAGCTCTCGTGCAGGCTGGGGAGGTGGGGGTCCTCGGACAGCCAGAGACCGAAGTAGCAGCTGCAATCGGGTTCCTGCAGGTACACAAAACCACCCAAACTCTTACCCGAGGACACGTCCCCGTGCCGGAGCGACACAACAGAGACGTCGCCTCGAGTCTGGCAGACGAAGAGCACCCGTTGCCCCGGACTACAAAGCCACTTAGCGGCGGAGCCGGGAGCCCGCGGAGATTACCCAGGAGGCGTCTTTCCCCCAGGACACCTGAGCCCCTAAGTGGGGCAGATTTGGGGGGGGGTAGGAGGTGACCGCAGGGGCGAGCGCGGGCGGGGCGGTCGCGACGGGCGTGGGAGCTCCGCGCGGAATTTGGGGGCGAAGGGGAGGGTCTCGGCGGGGGGGTGCAGGACAAAGGAGACCCTTAAGGACGGTGGAGGGGCGTCGGCGAGAGCTCAAGGACAAAGAGCACTGGAATTAGCGAGCTGGAGGCGGGGCCATCAAAGACCCTTTCCCGCCCCACCCTCTGCACCCTGCAGGGAGGAGCGTGGGGGACCCAGGAGAGGCTGGGGGCAGGGTGGGGTGGGGTGCCTGGTGGGTGCTGCTGCTGGGGGCAGCCGTCTCCGCCCCTCTCCCCGGGTAGGTGTGACCGGGAGCGGCTCCCCACCAGCAAAAATTCGGCCCGGTGAAACTGGAAGGAGCAGGAAAGCCGGCCGAGTGGCACCCACGGAGGGCCCAGAGCGCGCCAGCCCCCACCGCTCCAGGCAGCTCGCGGGTGGGGTCGGGGCAATGGCGCTTCCGGGGCGGGACAAGCCGGACGCGAGGAGGAAGAACGGCCCCCCCACCCTCTCCAGCCAATCGCGATTGGCGCTCTCACGTGACCGGCAGTGGCCCAATAGCAGGTCGCGGCGAGAGCGGCGGGGAAATTCAAACGTGTCTGCGGAGAGGGGCTCTGGGTCCATCTTTTTTTCTCGGCTCCGCTTCCTCGTGCGGAGTCCGGCCTCGCGGACGCACCGAGAAGCGGCGGCGGCCGGTGCGTGGGCTCACCCGAGGCGCTGGGCGGCGGCGGGTGGG